AGAGATAAGAAAGTGGATAAGAATGCTAGATTTGTGGTAGTTCTTGCCACAATACAAGGTGACAATTTTCTTTGGATTAATTCGTATTTACCAAATTTGGAAGAACAACAGATTTCATCAATGAAAAAATTATTTTAACTAATTAGTAATGATCCCAGTAGACACAATGATTATCTGGTGGGGATTTTAATTTCATTTTTGATTTGGACCTTGAGGCTTTAGGAGGCAACCCTAAATTAAAATTAAACTCGATAGAAACTGTTAAAACAATTATGCCAGAGTGGGATCTTTGTGAAACATGGAGGCTAAGAAACCCTATTTCGAAACGTTATACATGGCGAGGGGTTTGACAGAGAAAAAAAGTAGTTCAAATGAGCAACTTTACAGGAGATTAGATTTCTTTTTGATATCAGATGAATTACAGGCCTTTACTGACAAGTGTGATATTGTTCCTGCTCAATCCACAAATCACTCTGCAATTACCCTCAACCTTAGCAACTTTAATAATGGTGAAAGATGTCCCTCATTTTGGAAATTTAATAATTCTTTACTAAATAATCCAGACTATATAACGGAAATGCGAGCTAACATTCAGCAAACTAAAGAGGACCTTGACGTAGAAGGAATTTTTAACTATCAGTTGCGGTGGGAATATATCATGTATCACATCAGGATATTCTCAATAGCTTTTTCGAAATCTATACCACGTAAACAGTTCACATTTAAAAGCTATGCATGTAAATATAATGATAAACTTAATTAATGGACACGAAGAAGGAAAACTTTTTACGAAAATACCTTCCTTATATTTAGACAGGTTTGGTGGTTTTTGCCAGATTTCCTCTAATTTGTATATTAAAATTATTCAAAAGGGAATTCCTCCTTTCCTTAAACAAATTCTTGGCTCTTGGTCAGAATATGCGTGCACGAACCCTGAAGAAAATTTGGAAATTATTAAAAAATATTTGGAATAATAAATACATCAAGATAGATAAATCTGCAATATATTATAAGAGGTTTTCACAAAAAGGTTTCAACAAAATTCAAGATCTACAGTACCGCCTAGAATCACATGTACCTTTGTTTGTGTGCATTTCGCGAACAAAATGCGAACACTGAACGCGTTCTGTTGGCGATCTGTTCGCGAAATTTCGTAAACATCTCATGTTCGCAAACATATAATGTCTATGTTCGCAAACACCAGTGTTACATACATGTATAAACATTTACGTGTTAAAATCGGCATATAAATGCAAAAGAAAGCTCGAGATTCATGTCAGACAATCGACATAAAAATTTTGAAGTTTCTCATCGAAAACTCAATGATACAAGTAGACATACAGTATTTCAACTAAGCTTAAGTAAAGTGAATAAATGAACTTCATTTATTATAACAAAAAGCTACAGCCAGACTTCTAAAGTTGTTGGTTAGTCGCGCGTGAGTTGGACACCAGGCCACATAGGGAGTGATCACTAAAAGCAGTACTGAAAACGGCATTTTGTAAAAAAATTTTTTGGAGATTTTGTTTTATATTAGCTTATATTCATATTTTCAAAAAGACAAGGGAAAACTTTGAATTATAAACGGCAAAGAGTTAACACGCTCTCAAAATGCTGATGTGCAAATTTCCAATTAGAAACCAACCATGACGAAGTGTCATGCAACAAGTCACGCTGAAAGACTAGTTGTGTATTAAGAGATAAATTAAAAAGACTGCACAAGCTCAAGTTCATAGATAAAAGTTTTTAATGCATATTACTAGTAACTTTATAGAAAAATTGATAGAAATACAGTATTGGTAAACTAAAATTACTTTTTATTATTGATTCTTCTCAAATATGCCTCCATAGACTTTCGGCATTCTCGCCAGACTGCTTCTTTCTGTGCTGGAGGAGTCAGATAGTAATCGTACACTGTTGCCATAATTTGGGAAATCCTTTCTGGATCTACTTTGCCCTTTCCACGTAAACCGGCAATGTTCTTATTGATCAGGTCATCTGGCATAAAATATTTCCGTAACAAATTAACAGCAAAGTTACAGTGAGATGTCGAAATAATCTTGAGGTTTGTGGACGCTTCTCGGTTCATTGGGAGTCTGCTGGCTAGTTGATCTGGTGAAGGTGTAATGACAGTGGCGGGATCAGGAGTTGGCAAATGTAGAGATAACGGGCGTTGGCGTCTGATAAGGAGCAGTTGGAGCTGGAGGAGGCTGTTGTAACAGGACATCTAGTGTATGCTCAATTCGAAGAAGTATGTCGCGGAGTGATTCTGGTCCTCTTAGGAGTGGCGATGAATGGTGAGAATAGGTGGCATCAAGCGTAGATATAGAAGGCTGATATATCAAACTACACAGTGAAGAACACGGGGAAATGGCGGAATATCTAGGACTAAAGCTTAGTCTACGATAAGGCTGCTGGTGTTGTGGTGTCGCAGGTGTGGAGGGAGCTGGTACAGGTCGCTCAGGTTCTGGTTCTGGTTCTGGTTCTGCATCACTTGATGCTGATGGTCCAGCAGGGCTATAAGTAGCAATGACAATTGCCTGAAAAAATAAAATCATTAATTATTTATTTTGTTGCTCTTTTTTGACTATTTAGAAAAGTTAATGTATACATTGTAATACTGATATAAACTTCGTTTTCAAACTTCTAATCTAAAGCACTTGAAGTGAATCAAAGAAATAAAGACAAAGTACTAACCTGCTTTCTTTGTTTTTCAACAGACTTAGACTTTTTCTGTGCCTTGGCCGGCCTTTTATCCTTCTGAGGGCGCTCTTGAGATTGCTTTCTCTTTTTTGTGGTTTCCTGGGTTGAAAATTCAGGATTAGTATAAGTTTGGAATGAGATTAAACTTGGCGTAATGCCGGAAAGAATTAGATATATATGACATTGCAATTGCCCTATTTCATTATGACGTCACAGTATGTTTACATCGGAAAACGATGCTCAAAAACAGCGGAAATTTGGACCCATTTATATTGTCAACTAAAGTAGAACTTCAGTGAATCGTGTTTTGATATATATCACGTATAAATGATTGCTCATGTACATTTTATTTGAAATGCAGTCACTCTGATCCCTTCTGGCGACCATAATCCTTAGCGTTAAAACAATAGAATGTTTTGATGTGACGTCATAATGAACTAGGGCAATTTGTTAGATGTCATAGTAAACATTAGACCTGACAATGTTATAAATCAAGCAATCGAAACCTTGAAAACAATTAAAACTATTTGCTTTCAAATGAATTTTTTGGCAAACATTTATATCATGAAATGTAACTTACACGTTCAGTTGGTTGTGGTTCGTGGTCATCTTTGGGAAAAGGATGAGCATTTGCCGGATTGCTGACAAACTTTACTTCTTCTTGGTGTAAAAAAGTTTGGTCATCTGGTAAGTAGGCAACGCAAGTTAAATTTGGTTAGCGTGATATGAGTGAATATCGAACACACATTTTACCCAATATATCAGTGAGTGAAATTGAAATAGTAATTAACTTAAGGTTGCTTACCATTTACAGAAATAAGTTCCGCTTTTAGATTGACACCAGCATAATTTAACGCCATAAGGCTTCCTGGTGTTACTTTGTCGCCAGACAAAACAGTTTTGATGTTCTTAGTTGGAACAATACTGATTGTTTTATCTGACTCAAAATAAAAAAGGCCATACTTTGGAACTTTGTAAGCCATTCTGAAAGACATGATTAGTTGATTGATTGATTCGCTTTCTAGAAGTACTGTTGCTCTAAGTTTGTATTGTAGAGTCGTGAAGTAAACAGCCATGTTAGCTTTATTTTATATGCTTTTTACAAAACTTACTGCCGAGAAAGCAAACACAAAAGGATCGAAAATAACCGTATTTCATTGGCGGGCATAACATGTTAATGAGCAAAACAATTATTGGTGTTGTTCAAGTCAATTTCAATAGAAACACAAAAGATGCCAAAGCATGTGCTTATTGCATCATTCTTATTCCCAAGTGGATTCTATTGTGTTGAGTCTCGTCCAATAAGAATACTTTAATTGGAAAATTTCGATCCGTATAAAAAGTATAAAAAAGTAAAAGTATAAAAGGAAATGCACTACTTTCAATTGATCTGATCAAAACTTTTTAAAAAAAAAAAACCTTATTAAGCGTGATTTTTTAATTCTCTACGTGTGTTTCATCACAGATATCGTTATCTTCTCTTGAAAATGGCCAGAATATCAGAATATGTCAAACTTCGAGTTTTWAMYTTWWWAAAAAAGGCAAAACAGCGGCGGCTACTATCCGTGAGCTAGCCCTAGAAGACATAAAGATTGACCGGAGGACAGTTTGGAAGCTTTTCCGTAAGTTTAGGACTGGATCATCAACTGCCTACAAACCCAGTAAAGGACGTCCACAGTCACTGAATGCAGAACACCATGATTACATCGACCAAAAAATGGAAGAAAATGATGAACTCACGTCGGTGGGCTTACAGAGCCTCTTTATCAAAGACTTCAGCCACCATCGAAAAAGACTGGACCGAAATACTGATTGTTAGGGAGACTAACCACGTCGCAGGTTTGTCTTTTGCAGAGAGGTGTTCCAGTACGAATGAGCAGTTTGACAGCGTCATCTTTACCGATGAGAGTTCTATTTGGATGGAGAAACATGGAAAAATCTGCTTTAGAAGAATACCGGTCAATTCGTTCCGAAGTCAATTCGCTACCAGTCAATGCGTTACGCATCTTAACGAATGTTGAGTCGATTCGTTACGTGTTCATATTACATATAAATATAATCATAAGTAATTTGTCTAAAGTCATAAATCTACTATTGAATGCTGAATGAACTGAGTTTAACTTGATTTTAATCAAGCTAAAGCGTAATTTTTCTTCTCATGCCGTACGCCATATTTGCCGGTATTAAACTAGGATCCTTTTCACTAGACAAAAGTATAAGTTTACTTATATTGTTAATCTCTCACTTTCGTTTAGGCTCAGGCTGCTATGCCTTCGTCGCGACGTGTGCTAACACAGGTAACCCGGAACGAGGAATTTTATAGCATTTTTGGATATAGTTGTTTTTATTTGACTTCACTATGTCATTTTCAAATGTAGCACTTTGGAATTGACTTTTAAAGCATTTGGTTGGCTCCTAACGGAGCCATTTGTATGTTTCATATGACATCAGTGCCGCCTAGGACCAGAACACAGGTGAACAGGCCCTCTGGAGTCTTCTTGGGTTGTTGTTCCTTCAGTATGCTGCCCAGTTTGAGAAAATCTTTTCTTGGATTTGACGGAATTTCCGCCTCTGGACTCTTTTGAACTTCTTTTCGGACACCACTCTCATCTGTAGTGAAACGAGGCATGCTTCTCTGTGAAGAAGCTTGACTAGTAAGTAGAAAGGGAGATTTGTCTTTCCATGTGCTTGTCTATTTAGGGCATTGTGCCAGCCTTCTAAATCGTTGTTTGTACGGACTGCTTGTTTGTAAACAGACCAGGACGAGGGTGGCCAGGTGTTGTTCATAATCCAGGTCTCGTTGATGTACTCCACCAAAGGCTGTAGGGCAGCTGTTGCTTTCCGTTGGAGGCGTTCAAACTGTGGGCGTATTTCTGTGGCGGGCAGGAATGGTAGTGCCATGAGTCGTCCGATGAATTGCCAGGTACCGTKGTCTCTTTGATATTGCTGCTGGAGACCAAAAGCTTGCACCTTAAAAGAAATGAGTAAGTCATTAGATAAAATGTAATAAGAAGACTAGAAAACAATCGCGTGCTTTTTCATTTACAAGTTATTCAAATCAGTCATTTATACTAATTTATCAACTTTTCTCCATACAGCTTGAGTCCAGTGGAAATGACAGCCCATTATCTGCGTAGCCGGGAGGAGGTCGCGAATCGTACTCCACATTGCCGTTTCAAAGTCGATAACGATTTTCTTTACTCGGTGCTGATGAGGTAGAACTTCAAGAATTTTCTGCAAAACCTAAAAAATAACCAATTTTAAATAAAAATTAAATAAATAAGAGAATAATAATGATACGGGAATTAATTGATATTAATGAATAGTATTTCATAAACCTCAGATTGACTATACAAGAAATATACCTTCTTATAATCCTTTTTCTTCTTTCCTGACATAAGGACGAAGACCAAAGGCACTTGCTTTATGTTTCTACCTTCTCCATCAAAGGCGTTGATGGTAACTAGCTGACTGAAGGGCTTTCTTACGAGCTTGAAAGTACCGTCTATGAACCATGTCTTGGCCTTGGCAAGGTTTTGAAGTTGTTTGTTCGTGGCAAAAATCAAGTGACATCTTTCGCAGGCGTGGACATCACCTCTGAAGAAACCAGCAGGAATATGACCTTCTTCTAMTTCAAACTGCAGATCTTTTGGATCACGAGGCCGTAGTCGTTGACGTAGCCGATTCGCTGTGCGGGCCAACAAGTCCGGTTTGGGCAAAGAAGGTGCTGTCGCATCTTCGACTTCTTCGAGATATACCTAGTTAATTAAAGAAACAGTTATAAAAATGTATTTTTAAGATGGGAATTGTTTTCCAAGTATTTAATTGTGTTCACTGTTCACAGATCATAGATATCACATATCATTTTTCCAGAGTTTTTGAGATGATCAGATGAGATGATTCTACAATAAAAGAAGACAAACTAACCTCTTCAATGATCGTAGAAGCTGGTTTGAAGACATCTTCGACGGCAGCATCTTTAACTTTCTTTTTAATTTTGGACACCAAAGCAAAACCAGGAGTACCAGGGTGGTTGTGGGCTTGGACGCCGAGGGTGAAGGAACCAGACGATGATTCAATGACTTWAGCTCGACAAGGGTTGTKCTTTRGCCGAATGGTACACRTCCAATGGGTGGTGGTCTTAAAACGCCTTWRAAMTCCATAACGGTATCCCATTGAATCAACAAGTAGCTCTCTCCCGYGCTCGGAGGATTCCTTAATTTTCTCRAATGTAATTKGWGCCTGCTCGGTAATRTCATGGATCAGAGGTTCATCAATAGATACTTCCATTTCTGAAAAAGAGAATGAAATTGAATTAGTTATTAATAAAATTAGWTAAAAGTAGGGGTCATACACATACCCGTGCTGACTTSTTGTACAGAAGAGTTTTCGCWGCCATCATGTTGCCACAGACAACGGTCGTCTTGCCAACCAACTAACCATCCATCTTGAGGGTCAATGGGCAAATCGCAAATGAAACACTTTTGAGACATCTTATTCGTTCGAGGTAAAACTTCCTTTAGTAATGACTTTTAATTCGCATTGTAAACAACAATGAAAATTTTCTGATGCTCACTTCATTTTATACTCATCAGTAGGATCGAAATGTGTAAGTGTAATGAGTTCTCATTGGCTAAGTTTGGTGCGCATTGTATTTTATAACAAAAGATTTTATTGCTTGGCGTGGTGACGCTATCTGTTTCCAGTAACTCATTGTTTTGGTAGAAACACCCATGTATGTGCCATTCTAACTCTGGGTATGGTTTTAATAACCTTTTTGATAGTTTTTACCCGCATCGAAATCATTCAATAAATTATACTGTATATCAAATAAAACTATTGTATCATGGTTAGATTATAAAGATTACCCTGAGATCGATATTTCTATGAAAACTATAAAATTTCTACCTGTGAATCAAGTTAACTCTTTTGTCAAAATCAACGCTCAATCCTCGTATTATAGTAACATTATATATACGTAACATTGTGTAAAAACAAAGAGCACGGATTTTATGAGATGATTGGCAGGGATTCTATTAGTGTTATGATTAATTCCGCGAAGGCTCGATGCGCATTCAGCTTCTGTGATTTGCATTCTCTCTCTCTTTTCATTCTCTACTCAAACAGAAATAACATGATTCCAATGCATAAAATGTGCTTTCTTGAGACATTTATAGCTTTAAAATCACAATATTTCTGCATCTATAAGGCAGGACTTTACTGAAAGCTCTGCTGACGAAGGGTGTGATACGTTTGTTTACGTACGTCTCCATGACACTATCATCAATCGATCATCGAACAATGTTTATGAACCCATCCTTGTTTCAAGGATATTAAAAGACCACAGATAAAGTTAACTCTTCTACATTTTCATTTTTTAAGAACTAATATGTACCGTTTGCGAGGAAATATGCCAGTCATTCAAGGGGCGATTGATTCGATGAACAACAGGCGTCCTTTTGTTTACGTACGTCTTGATCATAGAGCAATGTTTATGAACCTATCCTTGTTTCAAGGATATTAAAAGACCTCAGATAAAGTTAACTCTTCTACAATTTCATTTTTTAAGAACTAATATGCACCGTTTGCGATAAAATATGCCAGTCATTCAAGGGGAAGTATTTGATGAACAACAGGCGTTGTTTCGTTGGGTCGGTAGTCTGTCAAAATTTAGTCTTGTCCAATAGTTTGTTTCAAAAACTTAATCACATCCGACCTAAAAACTTTAGAAGATACTTGTTTATGAAAATAAGTTCTTTAGAAACGAATCTTACCATACTAATTCTAGTTCTGGTTATGTGTTAAATGAGAGTTCACTCACTCTTGATTATAGTAGTAATCGACAAATTGGCGATGTTCGGGATGTTTACCGCATGTTTAATAAAGTTAAACTAAGTTCAATCATCATCTAATATTTGAATTAAGTCTTTATATAAGATACTTGTGATTAAATGATGTTATATAATCATGTTATATAATGTTAAAAGAACACGTTATGAATTGACTCAACATTCGTAACGAATTGACTTTTTGTAACGAATTGACTGGATACCCTTTAGAAAGATCGGCCAGCCCCTGAAACTAACTATGTGTTGACCGGCATATCCAAGGAAGGTGCCACTAAGATCGTGCTATTCACCGCCATTATGCTAAAAGAGTTTTTTACGTAGAAAGTATACTGAGGGACACCTTCCTTCCATACATGAACACTCAATTTCCAGACGGTTACCGATTTCAACAGGATAATGACCCAAAGCACAMGAGTCGACTAGCCATGAAGTTTATCAAGGACCATAACAGATGAGTAGCACAATCACCCCTCCACTTAGTGTAACAAATGGCCTTAAAACAAAGTTTTAAATTGTCTTCCTTTTTGTCTTCTTAACTGCCACCTCACTACATATGTGTCGTACTGTGCCTGCATACACAACAGACGCTTGGTGTCCAGAGTGTAAGTCATATCGTGTAGGTTTTCTCTTAGATAGAAGTGATCCTTTAATACAGCACTACCTCTTGGATAGTGACTAGAATAATCATCTATCAGAGAGTCCTCCAGCTCTACAACACCCTCAGAAGTCACTTGTAGCAAATAGAAGTCATATACAGGATCTTCACATGCAGCGATTGCTACAGTACTTCCTTTAGCAGCCAGATCTGCGATATGTAGTGTAGTGTCATGGTTTAATGCAGATGATTCAGAAGCTTGTCTTGTGGTTGCTACTGAACCCTCTCTGGTGATGTCCACATCCTTCCAATCGTCCATCCACTCTTGATTTTGGCAGTGATCCTCGTCCTCCAAGATGCAGTTTKCACAATAGCAGGACCTCTTCCTGACTTTCAGCTTCTCTTGCTGTGCCAAAGACCTCACACAGTGCCACTGACGAATTCCTTTTACTGGTAAGTGCCTGTCAGGTCTGTTCCTTGCTACTGGACCATCCCCTGTGATTGGGACAAAGAAAAACACTCGACGTTTCAGCTCAACTTCTTTTGTTCTAGAGCGAAAGCTGCTTGCTGCTGGAAGAAGTATGAGTATGAGTATGGTTATTCTAGCTGTTCCTCGCAACACTGCCTGGCTGACCTTTTGCTTTATGTGTGAACCTCCTGCATCTTGCTCACCCTTGGCGTGCGAAGTTTCGAAGTATGAACGTTGTGTATGGCACCCAAAGTCAGCCAGAGAGCATGATAAGTCACCTACCACGACAGTGTCGTGACTTGTACTGTGCAGCACAGCCATCAGTAAACTCATGTAGTTTCTTCACTTTGTAATCGAGGTCATCTTTGAGGTATGCCATAATTTGTTTCTGCACATGGTGTACACTGTCATTATCTTGTGTTGGATCATCAGATATGACAAACAAGTGTTCTTTGATTGTGTTGGGCTCTTCCTCGGTGCTAGAAATACCATCAATAGCTTCAACAGCATGCCGATAAAGGATGGACACATGGAGAGATACTTTGGCAACATCAAAGTATTCACTTTGTATTTCATCTTGCTTTCTACAGGTGTGTCCTTCCGAGTAGTCATGGACACATAGCACATGTCCCTGTGGCAAATAATCTATCAGGTTGTCTAGCTGATCCCTCTGCCATCGTGCAGTGAAAGAATGACTTGGGTAAACTACAAGTAGATCTTTAAGATACTGGAACAATTGTGAAGGTGGTGTTTCCTTCTGAACAAGGGAGATTTTCTTTTTTTCTTGGCCATCTGGTAGGAATTTTCCCGTAGGCACATACTCATACCGTGACCATCGTATTTGCCCATTAGCTTCAGTGAGAGTTTTTGGTACTGGGAGTGTTCCATTCAGTGACTTGCGAAATTTCATACAGTCTGTAAAAATTGACTTTGTTTCAACATGTTTACGACATAAGCATGATCGACGATCCCTTTCCTTTACTTGCTTCACAAAGAAAGGTTTGAGGTTTTCAAATTTTCGTTGCTGAAATATCTTCTGCTAGAGCTTTTAAAGCCTTAAATTCTTGTTGGTTTTCCGGAGTTTTCATCACGCCTTCTTTTTCCAATACCTTTCGGGTTCTTGGGCTGTTCATCACTGCTTTTAAGATAACGGCTTTTTTCTTGGCGACTGAGGAAGGGCTTCTCTCACCTTGTCAGTTGCACGTTTTTTTGATTGCCTGTTTGTATATCCAGAGCGGCCGTCGGCTTGGTTTAAATTGCTTTCTCTTTGAGTTGTCTTTTCACGATGTTTCCTTACCCTTTCCCTTGTCTGCTCTCTAATCTTTTGTCGTCTGTCTTCTTTTTTCCGATTTTCCTCTTTGGTCTCATTGCTTCTCGTTTTGTTCACGCCCTTTATTGACGATCTCGTGTGTACACATGTGCGTGACTCTTTAGTTTTCTGTCGTCTCTCTTTAGCATTTTTAATGATCTTTTGACGATTTCTTTCATAATATATCTTATTCTTCTCTTGCTTTTCTTTTTGTCTTCTTAACTGTGCAGCTTTTTTGCGTGAAATACCGGGGAATTGTTCTTTTATTACATCCACAGAGGTCATCACAGACCACTGCACTGCATGAACACTACAAGAGTAACGCAATACCCAGCATTTTTAAACTTTGCGCATGTGTAACGTATGTAGAACGTACGTAGAAAGAGCCCCTGAGATTGTCAATGACCACCCCAAAGCATCCATGTGCTTTTGATCAAGAGAGAAGCGTGAATTTATGGCGAAAACAAAGGAGATCATGGCGTAGTCTGATCGTTTTGTTAGCGCTCTACGTTCTTCTTGTTTCTTTGTTACGCTTCATGAACACAGCTATGATAGCACAAAGTGTTTCAGTCTTGCTCAAAATGAAATATCTCGCGTTTTGTTGCATAAGAATCAAACAAACTTTGTAAACATGTAGTCACTTACAAGCCCAAAAGGACTGTTGTATTTGGTTGGACAAAACAGAAAAGTACTTATTGGTAAACTCATTCCCATAGGTGAGTCTGTACTATAATTTGACGTTTTTGAAGGGAATTTTAACTGTTTCAGTCGTCTTTAAAACCTTTTTGCTTCGTAAAAATTCTTTTTTACTTCATACAATTTTCAGAAGTGGGGCATCATAACAAGCCCATTAGTTTGGCACAATTTTGAAATAATATATATAAATATATATTTTGAAATAATAGATATTTTTTAGATTTCGATTTTCGCAAAAACCATGTAAGACCGTGCATATCACAGTAAGCGTTACATTGTGAAGGGGAATTAATAGATTGTGTTTAAACGCAATATAATAAAGCTATTAAACTGAAACCCTGTCTGATGCTTGTTTTAATGTTAAACATATTTCATTAAATGTTTTATTGTTTCCTTGAATCTCTGCTGCGGAAAGCAATTGAAAATACGGGAGTCCGCTTATTGTTGTTACGCGTTACATGCATAAATCAGCTAATTTTTAACTCGGAGATTGCATCAGCAATCGTAGAGTTGTTGGGAGGGGACAGGCTGTCACTCGCTCACTTTCCTGTAAACTTCCTGTTACGTTTTCTGTAAAACTTCCGGTTAATTTTTGGTTACTATAGTAACTTCTGTATATTTGCATTTTGATTCTCTACTGGTTTCCCTGTGCTACATCTGATTTATTTTTTGGCAAATAAAGAAATCAAAGAAATATGAAGAATCGAAGTTAAATTAATAAGATTTTAATGAAAAAATATGCATTCAAATATCGTTTACTTAAAATTCTGTTTGTAAAGTAAATCTAATTTGATTCGTTGCATTGTTCAGTCACAAAGGAAGCATGAGGAAGACTCGCCGATCCGACGATTAAATTCGTCTCGAAAATCATTTTGTACGTGTGTTTTATTTATCCACGTTCGTCTACAATTCAAAAAATGTATTCGCTCGTTAGCGTACTATTACATTGTAATATATGATATATAGTTCATTGTGTGGTTAGATATCGATATTACTATTTAGAGCCGCTACGGAAACTGGCAAACAATAAAAACAATGGTGCCGTAGCAGTTAATTCACCGTTACGGAGTAAGCATTCTTAAAAAAAATTGCTGGAAAAAGTAATTAATAATAAAAAAAATAATAGTAAAGAACAAAAAAAAAGAAAAAAAGTATATGATATCTCTTGGGAATCGAACCGGGATCTCTTAATTAGTACGCCTATGTTTTAACCACTGAGCCACGATGGCAGTCTTAGCCACGAGCGTGGCTAAGACTGGGATTTATTTCGCCTTCACTCGCCATGCTTATCCACAACCGAAGTTAAAATAATAGGATAAATCGTTTACTTAAAATTCTAATTGTGAAGTAATTATGATTTGATTCATCGTACATGTATTGTTCTGTATCAATCTTCGAGTTATGCTGCCATTGGCTGCTTGATTGGTAAGTCATTGTATTTTTCGAAACAATTTCCTTCACCTAATGCAAAATTTATGAATTCAATTGAAAGACCGAGTTTATACCGGCAATATTTGAGAATAATGCAATCTTTCATTGCATATTATTTGAGAAATTAAATAAAGAAAAGTATACCATGTGTTTTGGTGACGTGATTGTGTTACTCATCAACATCAATTATTGGCCTACACCATCAGAGAGCCCGGACCTTAATCCTATTGAAATGCTTTGGCACGAGTTGAAACATCACCTCGGAACAGTTGTAAAGTCAACAAAGAAGGAAGAATTAATGGAAGGAATTATGAGGTTTTGGACGACGGTCACCCCAGAGAAATGTCGAAAGTATATCGGCCACCTTCAGAAAGTAATTCCAATCGTCATTGCCAGAGAGGGAAGAGCTTCAGGTCACTGAATCGAACATAAAACGGTTCTTGTAAGCACCAAAACCGGCTCTTTTAAGAGYCACCAAATGCTTCAAAAGTCACTGATCATGTATGAAATTTAAATCATCAAATTAAAAAGAGTTATGGTATATTTGATTTCAATATGTAATAAAAGATGGATTACCATGCGATGGATTACCAATCGGTCAATTAAAGGGGGCAGGGATGTTGCTAGATAATGAATCAAGGACAAAAAAACATGAGTGTACTGTAACGCATCAAGCTCGAGACTAGTTGGAATCTCTTTGTTTGTCACCTGGCAACGGTATACAAACATTCATTTCGAAAACACCGACGACTACATCAAAAGTTAATCATGATTATTATTCTCATACGCATTTATCTGCAAATCAAAATAGATTGACAGTGTATTTCATTTGGTAGTATTTTAAATGACCAAAAGTACGAGAAATGAAACGCTTTTAAAAGAGTGATCCCGCGGCGGACGTGATGGTGTCTGCTACTTTACTCACTCGTGGATCGTACAGGCGAGTGTATGCTACTTTAATGGCGGCCGGTTCTGTGAAATAAAATCTGCAACTTACAACTTTTAAACGTTAATACGAATTGTCAGATCAAGATGTGTTTGCGAACAGTGATGATCAGACATGTTCGCGAACAGTGATGAAAGCGAACAGATCGCGAACAGAACGCGTTCAGTGTTCGCGTTCTGTTCGCTAAATTTGCGCGAAAAAGGTACGTGATTCTAGGTGGTACTGTATGTACTGCAAACAGTCCCTTTTCTCATGGATTGGGCAATGAAGTTTTTGCCTCATCGATACAGAGAAAAAAATGAGTGAATTCTTTGGTGAGAGAGGATAAAGATTATTATTAGGTGGGCAGGAATAATTCATTCTATTCCAAAAACATGGAAAAAAAATTTCTCTGAGAGACACTGCATTGGTCTTAAGCACTCAGACAGCAATGAAGCTGATGATTATTGGCTGAGGGCGACCTTGAGCTGATCACTGCGCAACACACATTGTCTGACTCAAGTGAAATGAAGTACCAACGAAGACGCTCGCAAGAACACAATGTGTATTTCAGCAATTGCCAGTTACTGTCGAAAGACTGCTAGCATCGATAGAAGGAGAAATAGACAGGAACGCCATGTCCGTACACAAGTAAGAGAGAGGTTAAAGCACGACTTCAAACAGAATTCAGATGCAATCAGTGCCTGGCGATCTTAATTATTACGGTAAAAAATAAAATAAGAAAAGCTATGCATGATGCTCTTGAAGCTCTCGACAATGAAACTTACCTTGCTGTCATGGATTGGGCAATGAAATTTTTGCCTCATCGATACAGAGAAAAAATGAGTGAATTCTTTGGTGAGAGAGGCCAAAGCTGGCATGTAAGTGCAGTGATAACAAAGAGCAAAGTATGAAGTCAGTGGAATGTTTTGTACATATTTTTATGTGTGAACTCAAGACAATTTTGCAGCTGCGTCAGTCATAGAGAACTTTATTAAAACTGTAAAGAAAACATTGACAAAAATGAGAGGTGCGTTTTTACTTGACAACGCTAGATGTTACCACAGCAGGCAATTGATCTACCAGAAATTTCGAAGAGAAGTGGCATCAATGTGCTGAGTCATGATTTCTCTGACCCTTAATCTGGCAAAGACATTTGGGAAAGGAAAATCGCAACAATGAAGTCTCATATCAAAAGACAAGTGAATGAAAAGCATGATGTGCTCACAGCTTCTGATATGAAGACTGCCCTAGAGTCGCACAGTGGGGCCAAAGGTTGCAGAGCTGCTGTGTTAAAAGTTAATCCCTCAGCATAGAATAAAACCAGTAAAAAGATCCCTGGAATAAGTCTTCTTAACAACTTTGCCATTACTAAGAATGGTGTCCCTGTCTAGAGAGCTTTAATACAATACTATTGGTCTTGGAAAGGTGCATACTTACAAGTACTTGCAGCACAGTGCGCAACAAGACACAAATTGAAGATGGAGGTCCTTGATTAATTTGATCATCCCTCAAACACAGTGTCAACTCGGATATATTCTCTTGCTGTGAAACCACGATAGCGTAAAAGGGATGGTCAGAAAATTATCTGAAATGAATGTTGGAGCGCCTGAAAGTGTGGAAATTCCTGAAGCACAAGCCAAATCTACAAGCACTGAGGTCAACATTTCTACTGAAGGCTGGGCCTACCAAGAGAGGACCATGAATCGGAGAAAAAGCGAAAGCCTTTCTTATAGACAATCGAAATATAGTGGATTATCGCAAATAAACAACCACACAAACGAGCAAAAAACGCTTTCAAAGTTGCCCAAAAATCAGTGTTTATTAACTCATGATAAACCATGATCTCATTAAAAATTTGTAAAATATTCCTAATTTAAAATAGCTGAGTTTTAAAACGTTCTAAGTAATTTGGAATAGATGTTCAATAGGCTTGTAAAGTTTCATTGAAAAATATTAACTTACTGTGTCGAGCTAGCTTGGCTAATACTCGACACAGTTCTCCTCCACTCATCCTTATTGCTCATCAGAGCGGGAAGTTCTTGAGGCAGGCAGCCGATATCGTTGGCTAGTTGGTCTGGATAGGTCATTCTTGGACGGCCTTGTGATCTTCTGCCATGGGAGGGCGCCCAGAGGACCAAGTCTCCTGCCAGTTCTTCTTTGCCGCGCCAGCAGTGACCGGCAAAGCGTAGTCGGTGCCGTCTGATAGATTGGCTGAGTGGTGGAATGTTACCATATAGCTCTTTGTTGGTAGGGTGATCACGCCAGGATCTGTTTAGCGCAGCGCGAAGCATACGGGTATATGCTCCGCCTGTTCTGCAGTCTGGTGGTAAGGGTCCAGGAGATCGAGCCATATGTGAGGACAGATCCAACTGTGGCTATGAAGAAATTCCTTTTCAGATCGTTATCCATTTGATTTAGTGCTCCCCACGCTTTGGCTAGTCTGAAAATATATTAAAGTTAAATAATATTTTCGACAGCTCACATTAGCGTTATTTTCGTAAGGTATTTTGACCATTTTACGGCCAAAACCGAGGGGGGTGGTCGATCTCGAAAACTAAAAGGACTAGAATCGTTTAAATACCACGGTTCTTATTTATTTCCGATGTAGATTGTATGCTGATAATATAAGGTAAATCGGCTGACCCTCATCTTTTGGACCTGCCCGGTTTTCTCAGACAACGTCTCTTAAAATGATGTTTTGCGTTGAAATCAATTGATATTGTGTAGTTTTGAGACAAAATGATCGTTACAACATTCCCGTAAAACGAGCAACGTCTGGAAATCCAAAATAAACACTCGCAAAATATTCAATTTCACTGATAATTTGATTTTTTTGACTTGTGTGACACTGTGTGTGTGAAAGTTGTATCAAAGACCTTAAAGTAGAAGTCGAACAAATAGGTACGACAGTTTTGTAAACTTTATGCAAAATTATCGCTTTGAAGTATGTGTGCACACACATCCATATTGACTAAAGTAAGATAAGAAATAAAATATTTTGTCAATCAGCCTTGTAAAGTTAGCTCTCCATGGTCACATTCCAACCATCGTATCAGTACAAGTAATTTTTACTCGATTTGGTAAATATTACAGCCATCCTTCGTAGTTCAATTGTGAGAATTTTCCAAAAGATAAGACTATAATGTGTAATCCATATAAGTAGTCCGTAGCCATTTGAGGATGTTGGTTACTGTTAGCCTGCAATGTCTACAGTGTATGATTTTGGGCTTGGTAGCAGTTTGCACATGAGTTCAATTCCTGGTTCAATTCATCATGACCTCAGTGAGATAGACAAGATACGAACTGTCGTCAAACCTACACTTGACAATCAGCTGGCCAATTGTTTTCGGAAGTATGAGTAATTTTTACTCGATATTTGGTAAAAGTTCCCTTAAAATTTAGGCTCAATGTGGTAATTTCCACTGCACAGCTTGCTGTTATTCGAGGACGTTGGTTTATATATTAGCCTGCAATGTCTGTAGCCTGCAATGTCTGTAGGCGAGACACGTCTGTAACAATCGTTTACATCACAATTGCAATCATTTTGAGAAAAAAGTACTCGAGAACTATCAACAAGAAATACCAAAAGCTTTGTCAATGAAGAATAGCGCTGCGCGGATATACTAAAAATAGATTTGAGAGATTAGACTCCCCACGGAGATTCGGACAAACAAGAGGTCAAGTTTGTAGTGAATGTATGTAGCGCGACCATGTAACTTTCAATTTTATTTAGATTTCTCTGGATTTTTTATCAATATGATCGGAACAAAGCACTGGCGTTCGGGGAGATGCAATACAGATTCACGATATACAGATAGAATGCCTCAGTCTCTCAAAGAATTTAAGAAAATTGAGTAAGAAAGTATTTATACCGTTCTTCAAGCCTTCTCATGACCTCGAACCATRCCTACAATGGATCAATTCTTGTTCTTGTAGTCCAACAACATCAATAAAACGGTAACAACGTGGCTGCATCAGCCAAGCACAGATACTTAACACGGTTCGCATGAAGCGTGTATTACCGCTCCACTATGTATGGATAAAGACTAATRCATTATGAGGCAAGTTAGTTTCATAATAATGRTCGCTCTTGTCTGTTGCCCTTGTTACATCGCACAAAACGGGAATCGACATGTYTTCGTCCGTTTTTAAAAKGTTTGTCCGTCATATGTCTAAGYATCCTCGAGCGTATAGTTAGAGTTATAGATATAGTTTATTAAACAAAGATAAATCGCAGCCAAAGAGCTGAATTGGGTTATTTACTAAGTCATGTAAAYAAAAACTATTTAAAAAACTGAGTCCAACATACAGTTCATATATTGATATGGAAGCAATTAGATCGTCAGAGACGGCACATGGCCAGGATGAACGAGTTCCTATACAGTCTCTTAACGCGAGAAACCAAGTCAACTCGCTTTCCTTGCACTTTTTTTACCCCCACATCTCAACTAGCGTTATAATTGCTTGACAGCATAGTTGTCTGGATTATTTTGGAGCTTTGAACCAGGAAAATCGTCATTTTCTGTCAAAACTTCTGCATTTTGGAGCAGTTTAATGAGTCGCCTGTAAATATTCCACATACATTTCTCTTGTATTGACCTCAACGTTTGTCCGAATGCAAGCGGGGGGTCGAAATCTGTGACGTAATATCCGCGCAGCGCTATTGAACTAGGATTTTGTATTTGTGAAGTTTCAAGCTTGCTAGTTATCATTTTAAGACGATTTTACATCGAAAGTAGTCTCACCTTCCTCACCTGTCCAGCTCGATGAAATTCAGTACAGTTTCAACATGAAATCAGCTCAAATACTGGCTTTCTTCCACATTAGACCGCAAAAGGTATTTTGTTTAAATGACAATGTTTTTGTTGTTCAGATTCAAATAAATTGCTTCAATAACATCGTTTTTTTTTAATGACAAAGTACAAGTTTTGAAATTGAACCTTGTTTTGCTTCAATTTTTAGATTTCTTTTGAATGCACCCATGGCATCTAAAATGGATTGCTATGTTGATAATARTAAATGTGATATCGCTAACCAAAAAGTAAAGAGTTTCCATAAATATTACAAAATACCTTGCAAAATACCTTGGAAATTCACTATAGCAAAAAGATTATGGTTGATAGTTGATGTATGATAAGATTATAGCAGACAGTGAAGGTTAACGATTAGTGGCCAGAAAAGAATATTGCGGTGCACGATTAGAATTGAACTCCAAACAAAACTACGGCATTATACGCCATATTTTACTTTCATATATAGTTACGTCATAGTCACAATATTCATTGGAGATACAAATTTTATCTTGTAATGAAAATCCTTTGCTAAGCTAGCCCGCATCACTCTTTACAAGCGTCTAGTTACTACAAAGTTCTAGATTTCAACGAGCGAATTACTGTTTGTACCAAAATTCAGTCCTACTTCTGTCATTTAAGTGTTTTATTTTTCAAATTTTTCAACTTTCTCTTTGGACGCTGACTCAGAACACGTGTTTTAACCGGATTCTTGCTCGCAATGAATTCTGGGGAAAAATGGACGTGCTGACGGCTACAGTTCCCTCCATTCTGAAATTTATAGAAAGTCTACAGCTTTCTCGGAATTCTGCTAACATTTCAAGTTGTTTGTGTTCCTCAATTACCAAAACATCCAAAAATTACTGGGCAGCTCCAAGGATTTGCCTTTAGATGGTCTTTTAAGTGATTCTCTTTAAGTGAAGGTCGAAGTTAATCGAATCAACTGCAGAAACAAAATCGCTTAAAAAGTCACACACCAAGCTGGATTCTTTCAGCAAGTAAGTTCATCTGCAAGACTCGGTTCATCAAGAGTGTGGATGTTTGTTATCAACTCAGAGGATTTTGTCACCCATTCTCACAGACAAGTTATTGTCCTCATAACTCATGATTAAGACTTTTCCAGGGACAACTTTCTAATTTCAGCTTCTTGGACCCAGCAAGCTTTGCTTCTTCAATTTTGGGTATCTTTCCTTCGACTGTTATAGTGCCCCATTCCTTTGAGCAATTAAATATGTTGATGATCGGTGATGTTTTTTTGTTTCTTCTTCAATTTCAGTATATGGGAATGAATACTCCGAGATGCTTGGTTGATCGGCGAATCTGATGTTGTTGATGACAATGTTGCCATCATTTGTCCATGTGAAATCTTTAAGCTTGACCCAGTGTCTTTGTCTCTTGGCTGTGAATAAACACCTTTTTTGTGGTGAGTAAAGGAGTGCTTGGCACGACTCTACAGGAGATGTACGTTCTGTGTGTATCCAATTATAGTTTCTTTGTTCTTTCACTTTTCAGCTAGGTTTGGCTTTGAGAGACATTTTACAGCTTTACGCACAGAGTTTGCATGTGCTTTAATGAAATTTTTTGGTTCAAATCACCGAAGTAAGATGAAGAACATTATCTTGTTTACATGTACTTAACATATCTCAGTACACCTAGGCATGTTAACTAGCAGATTGATTTGGAATGTGAATTCTGTTTTAAATAGTTGTTGCTTATATGGCATATTTTAGCCCTCCGGGNGCGAGTTCTTCATCATCATCAGAAGATATCACATGTACTATTACACCACCCTCTGCACCACTTGAATCAGAGTATCTATTGCAAATATTGATATTAATGAACACTAAAATGACGGGGCAATATCCACAACTAAACTGCTAAAGGTTAGATAACACTTATTCATCTTTTTGCGACTTAATAGACTCAGATAATTTTGAATTTGAAGACAACTTACTGTAGTCATGCATGCTATCAAAGATGCTATCGTCATCGGAAACGTCTTTATGGAGACGAAAAAGAAAAAGAAATATTCAATCACTAGTTAGTTTTGACGATAACAATGAATGAAAGCTTACAGAAGCAAGGAGATGGAATGGATTACATGCACAACTTACCATCGTCTGAATCCATCCTGACTTGCACGATTCTGAACGCCCTGAACGCGCGCGAGAGAAGAATTGTACACAGGAAGCCCAATAAAGTAGTTACGCTTGAGAGACTGGGCACTAGTATTGACAAAATGGCGGCTTGTGAATTTTTAAACACGAGTTTCTTCGTACAAGCATCAAAGTACAAGTTCATATGGCAAGTGCTTTAAAATAACAAACATGAAAAATTATATATCTATATTTTAGGGTGGTCCACGAAAATTGGTCCATGGACCAGTCCATGGATAGGTCCACGATGGCGATCCATGGACCCCTGTTCCATGGACCCCTGGTCCATGCTTTGTACTGACCCGACGTAAAATGGTTCCCAAGTATTGGTTTGGCAGGTTCAATATTGTTAAAGCAGAGGAATATCCATATGAACACCACTGCTAGTATTATTGGAATACTTTG